CAGCCTAAACAAGCTGAACTACCGGAGACCCCCAATCAACCAGATCAAACTAAAGAACACCCACAAGTGCCAGAACAACGCAAGCAACTTGACCAGCCTGATGAACCCAACAAATCAGAGCAATCTAAACAACCCCAAATGCCAGAGATACCTAAGCAACCAGAACTACCAGAGACACCCAAGCAACCAGGTGAAACTGAACAACATTCACAAGTGCCAGAGCAACGCAAACAACCTGATCAACCAGATGAACTCAAGAAATCAGAGCAATCTAAACATCTACAGGTGCCACAGAAGCCCAAGCAACGAGAACAACCAGAGTCCACCACGCAATTAGATCAAACTGTACCTCATCCGCAACTGTCAGAGCAACGCAAGCAACCTGAACAACTAGACAAACCCAAAAAATCGCAGCAATCTGAACAACACCAGCTGCCGGAGCAACCTGAGCAAACCGAACTACCAGAGACACCCAAGCACCCAGAGCACACTGAACAACATTCACAAGTGCCAGAGCAACTTAAGCAACCAGAGCACATTGAACAACAACTACAAGTGACAAATCAACCTAAGCAACCAGAACAACCAGCCGAACCCAACGTAACAGAACAATCTGAACAACTTCAAGTGCAAAAGGCACCTAAACAAGAACAACCAGAAGCCCCCAAGCAACCAGAACAATCTGGAAATCATCCACAAGAGCTAGAGCAACGCAAGCAACCTGAACAACTAGACAAATTCTACAAATCAGATCAATCTGACCAACCTCAGGTGCAAGAGCAAACTAAGCAACCAGAACAACAAGCCGAACCCAATATTTTAATTCAATCTGAGCAATCACCAGAAAATAATCAAGGAGCCCAGTCAGAAAACCGAGAACTCACAAATCCAGAAAAGCATCAATCACAGGAATACCAACAGTCAGAGCAATTAAAACAAACAAACAGACCACTACAACAAACTGCGCCACAAAAGCCAAACCAACTAGGCAACCAACAACATCTTAGACAAAAATCGGACTCTAAAGATGGAAAGTCTGTAACTTATAGCGACACAACATCAGAGAACTCCCAGTCTCAGTCTTCATCATCATCACCTTCATCTGCCAATTTATCAACTCAACAATCAGCGTTTGTTGCTTACCCCGAGAAACCAAGTGGACCGGGTGATCCACAGAAACCTAGACAACAGAATCCTCGCATAACTGAAAGCTCTGAAGAATCAAGAAAGGGTCGTTATGACCTACAAAAAATTAAACAAGGTTTGTAGCCTTTCTATCTTGAACAATATTCAATACTATTTTAATAATATTATGTATTTTGTAGTTAAAAATTTTATTTGTTGAGTAGCTTAAAATTTTTGGAGGAGTTTTTGTGTGTAAATCAATAGCGCATTATATAAATAGTAAATTGCAGCAGGTTCTTATTAATTTCTAAATCTTTCCTCCTTACTTGAAGAGCTTGGCTAACTTAAAAATTGGCAAACTTTTACTATACCTATATTTTAAATTGTTATTGGGGTTCTGTACGCTATTCAGCATTCAGAACCCCGTTATCAAAGTTTTTGTTATCAACTTATAATTTTTACCACAAGTCTTATAGTAAAGTTTAAGAGTGTGAGTACAACATTGAACCGCGTCTCAAGCTACACTGCCACTTTATGAAACTTTAAAAAGGCCATGTTAAATTAGGTGAGGTAAGTTTATAAGCAAAGAATTTTAACGGTTGTATACCGATACTGTTGCACGTCTAGCACATAAAGTAATAACCATTATGTTGTGCGTACAATCTATAAACGCTACCACCTCTTTTTAAACTCATACCTATTGCTTTGAAATTCGTATATATACTCAACAGATCACATTTCTTTGCAGTTGAAACCGCTCTAGAAGCCGAGGTAAATTTGAAGACCCTAATCATCAGCAACGACTCCGGAAGTGGACGTTGTTATTGCTCGTGTGACGTCAACAGTCGTCCACTCTTCGTTAGCGTAGATCCGGAAAAACTGGGATTCTAATTTTTAAGAAATCAACATCAGAAGTCGTTCTTTAGTCGGTAGTTTTGACCGTTTATGTCGGTAAACGGTCAAAGTAATAATTCGTTCAATCTGGTGAATTTATATCTATAACATACAATCCGATTTTTTTTTATGGGACAGTATGGGGAAATCATGGGAGAAATGGAAAACAATCTTTGGAACTATAAGATCTTTTTTGTGAAAACAAATTTGGCATAGACAATTTTTTGGTCAAGCGTGAGTTGTCCATAAAAATTAATAATATTGTCGAAAATTCTCATTCAAAATCAGTTCCTTGTGGGGATAATTTCATTGTATAGAAAGAAAAAATCGGGACAAAAAGTTGGTCAAATTAAATAAAATGTTTTTTCATACAAATTATATGAAAAATAATAATGTGTTATAAAATTTTTTTAAATCAGTCAATTTTAATCTTTTTTATGGACAACTCACGCCAACTGACCAAAAACTTCACCGTGCTAAAGTTTTTTTCTCAAAATACACTTAATGCTTTCTAAGACAGGTTACCTGAAACTGAAACCTAGGACATACAGAGGTCCTAGGTTTCAGATTTCCCTATACTGTTCCACTTAAAAAACAGATACACTGCATACTTATACGTATACAGTGCGAGCTTTTTTTACACATTTAATAATTTCTGCACATTTAATCAAAAGAACAATGGCACACTCGGCTACAATAATTTAGAAATGTTAGTTTCTATTAAATAGGTTGGTTTACAAAAGTGTAAAAATTCTACCAGTGTCGAAATCCTTAATACAAGTAATATTATTCTTATCGATTTGTCTTAGAAATATCTTCTCCAACTTGGTAGTAAGAATTAAACGAATAATGTCGTGAATTTTAGTATTTGTTGCGTACCAATCACATAGGTTCACTTTATTCAATTACGTGGAGCATACTGAAAGTTCCTGGAACTCGCCACTTGTGAAAGAAACTAAATAAAATCTGAAATAGGAACTAGGTTACTTTTTACTTTATGAGACTGTCTTTTGTTTTTTCATTGCGGCGTCTCGTTTTGAAAACATGAGGCGAACGTTTACATTACCGCGCCGTCGTGTACATTAATGGCGAATCTGAATAGAATAGAATACGTTTATTTGCCAGAATACAGTAATTACAAAGGTCTTAAGTAAAATTATGTACATTGTATTCAATCTGCAAGCAGATGTGAAAATATTAATGGGACTCAATGTTTCCTTAGTCTAGTTTCTAATTATTAATGTAATGAATTTGTAAATTCTAAGTATTCTTTATTACTATAGAAGCAATGTGTCAAAAGCCATTTAGTCAATTTTAATTTAAAAGTATGTCCTTGTAACAATTTAATTTCGTTTGGTAATTTATTGTAAATAATTATACACATGTTGAAGCAGTTATTCTTATAAATTACTTTATGGCAATGAGGTTGATACAAGAGATTCGTAATTTTTGCTCTAGTTTGCCTTTGAATGACTTCACCGCGTGTTTTAAAATATTGAGGATGAGAGTTGACAAATACGCAGATATCCCTAATGTACATGCATGGCAAAGGTAATATGTTCAGCCTTTTAAACAGCGGTTTGCAACTGTCATCGAACCACGCACCGCAAATTGCTCGAATACACTTCTTCTGGACTTTAAACGCTCTTTCTAAGATTACTGAGTTACCCCATAGTACAAGACCGTAGCTGAGCACGGACGAAACGTAGCCGTGATAGGCCGTCAACGCAGCTTCTATTTCAGCTGAATTCTATTCGCTAGGCAACAACATTTAAATTCCTCTGAATAATACAATCACGCGGCCGCCGCCCGTCCGCCGCCCGGAGACCGCGCGGTCGCCGCGTACACCAAACTCAAGCAAGACTCGCCCGCGTGTCCGGGACTCTCAGTTAAGCTAAAACGTAAAAGCTAAACAAATAGAGCGTATTTTGGCCATGACAGTTAGACGCACGCGGTCGCTGCGCGGCGGTAACACGTCCGCGCGGCAGCCGCGCGGTCGGAGTGAAATTCGTGTCGAATAAATGATTTTCTACGATTTTCGATGTGACTTAAGTCAACAAGAGAGTTGTCAGACACTTCAGCTGGCATTTGGTGATGAAGCACCATGTCGTAGTCCTGTCTATTCGTAGTTCAGTGAATTTAGACATGGACGTGATCATCTCCGTGAAGATGTATGTGAAGGTCGGCCGGCGAATGCGGTTACCGAATTTAGTATTGATACCGTACAACTGATTGAAACCGACAAAAAAAATACGTAGTAAATAATAATAGAGCATTGACGGGTCTGGCAAAAAAAGCAAAAGATAAAAACATTTACTAAATTCCCACTAGTCTCATGCATGGAAGTTTTGGGTTACAATTGGGAATAATACGGCACTGGGAATAAACCAAATATCTAACTTTGTATCATACTTTTTATATGGAGATCTTCAAGTAGTACAGAGAACCTACTAAATTTTGATTTTCAACTGAAGCCTTATTCGTTTTAATTAAATTCTCATTTATCTCAATATTTGCAAATTGCCCAGCGTTTTAACGACACGCCGTATCTCCCGCTGCCCCAATCAGCTATTTTCTTCGGCCCTGAGCAATCTCTCGCCAATTGATGGTTTGTACTTCGCCATACGTGTGACGCCTTGTCTGCGTCCAGTAGGTCGACTCAGTTAGGCTTTTTTCACGTTCCGATCCTCTTCCATTCCTTTCTAAATGGCCGAGCCAGCGAAGTCTGTGCGCTTTGGTTTCTATTTCAACGTTAGTGCGGACTCTCCAGCTATCGTTCTCCCGTTGGACTTGCTCTAATATATTCCTGAGAACCTTTCTCTCAGCCACCAGGAGTTTATTCTCTTCTTCAAAGTGTGTCTAAGCTTCACAACCGTACGAGAGAATGGGCCTCATGATGGTCTTGTAAATCTGTATTATAGCTTGACGGCGCAGAAGTTTGGACACCAACACTTAGTGTAGAGCTGCACTACATCGTAAGGTGTTCTGGATGCGGATGTCTACATTCTCTTCTCTAGAGTTGGTATCTGTAATAGTACAGCCTAGGTATTTGAACTTGGCCACACCTTTGTAGATGGCATTTCCAACATAAAGGTCTTCACGAGTTTGGCGAACGTTTCTAAATAGCTTCAAGTGGAGATATTCCGTTTTCGTCGCTACTTTTTTACTGTTCTTATTTTATTAATATTAATTTACACCACGCGGATTGAGGGACATGAGGAGCAACCCCCCACACCTCACCTCCTAAAATTTAGACCCGCGTTAGTCAAAGTCAAAGTCAAAGATTATTTATTCCATAGGTAAAATAAATTTACTCTTGAAAACGTCACATTTAAGCTACTGCTCGTTCACTACGCTGACCTCCCTGAGAAGAACGAGCAAGAAACTCTAGGGATTGCTCTTTTCAAATAAACTTAAATGCTATGGAATACACTTTGAATCAAATTTGTGTGGATTCTGGAGCCATGTCGTCTTTCCATACATCTTTATCTAACACGTAGTCTTCAATTTTGTAATATGATTTTTCGATCAAAATATTTTTAATGTAGTTTCTAAACTTAGGAAATGATAAACTTAATATATGCTCCGGAATCTTATTGTAAAAACGTATACAGTTCCCCATAAAAGAGTTGTTTACCTTGGTTAAACGAAATCGTGGTACCATGAGTTTGGACTTAGCTCTAAGGTTAATATTATGGATATCTTCTTTCTTATTGAAATTATGTATATTTTTACGGGCATATAAAATATTTGAGTAAATGTACTGTGATGCCACAGTCATGATACCAGTCTCCTTAAACTTTTCTCTGAGAGATACCCGAGAGCCTAGACGGTACACAGAACGAATCGCTCGTTTTTGCAATACAAATATGGTTTGAATATCTGCCGCTTTACCCCACATGAGAATCCCGTAGGACATTATACTATGGAAGTAACTAAAGTAAACTAGTCTAGCAGTACTAACATCGGTAAGCTCACATATTCTGCGGACTGCGTATGCAGCGGAGCTTAATCTGCTGGCCAGGGACGATATATGTGGAAACCACTGAAGTTTACTATCTAAGGTCACTCCCAAGAATACTGCTTTATTAACAAGGTCTAACTTTTCTCCGTTTATTTCTATGGTTGGACTAGTCGATTTTACGTTAGGTAATTCAAATTTAACACATTTTGTCTTCTTGGCATTAAGCAATAAATTGTTAGCATTAAACCAATAAACTACCTTAGAGAGGGTATCATTAATACGGTCATAGTTATTGTCATGTCTGTCTATTTTAAAAATGAAGGATGTGTCATCAGCAAACAACACTATTTCGCAATGGTCCTTAACAAAGAATGGCAGATCATTAATATAAATCAGAAATAAGAAAGGTCCAAGTATTGAGCCCTGCGGAATACCCATTTTTACTGGAGAACCCAAAGAAGTCACTCCATTTATGTCTACTTTCTGAATTCTACCGTTGAGATATGACGAGACAAGTTTCGACGCCTTGCCATTTACACCGTCATGTTCCAGCTTCCTAATAAGAGTATTATGATCAACGCAATCAAATGCCTTTGCGAGGTCACAGAAAACACCAATAGCGTTCTGGGACCTTTCCCAAGCATCAAAGATGTGTTTTAGTAACGCTACCCCCGTATCGCTAGTCGATCTACCACTAGTAAACCCGTATTGTTCACTATGAAAAATATGATTCCTACCGAAATAGGACAGTAATTGAGTTAGCATAACCTTTTCGAATATTTTACTTAAAGCTGGTAAAATTGAAATGGGCCTATAGTTGCTAGGATCAACTTTCCCACCGCTTTTGAATAAGGGAATAACCTTGCTGTATTTCATTAAATCGGGAAAAACACCTTCGTCAACGCACCTATTGAAAGCTACAGCTAAATGTGGGGAAATGAGATTAATAACTGAGTCTATAACTTTAGTTGATATGAGAGAGATCTTCCAGATCTTCAGAGATCTTCAGAGATCTTCAGTTTTTTTAACATGTATTGACTTAAAAGCTTTTATGATGTCTTGTGGATTAACATGACGAAAATTAAATAAACTGCCACAAACGTTAACATTTTCCTTTAAGAGAACAATAGCAAGTGAAGGGGAGGAATTTAATGATTTTGTAGTGTTCACAGCAATTTCCGAAAAGAACGATTCAAAAGCTTGGGCTACTTTATCTTTACATTTTATAAGTTTGCTGTCTAATTCTAAAACTATATCTCTATCCTGTGGTTTAACCCTGCCTGACTCTTTATTTATTATGCTCCAAGTAGTTTTAGATTTATTTATCGATTGTCTAATTTTGTCGCTGTGAAACTTAACCTTAGCAGCTACACAAACTTTTTTAAATATTTTCGAATAAATTCTAACATATTCTATGAAATTGGAATTATTATTATAAGTTTTCATAGCATATAGCTCATACAAACGAGACCTACTCTTATGAATACCTACTGTTGCCCAGTCGTTGAATTTAGTCTCTCTATGGAAAGTTAATGTTTTCGATTTAAATATATTGTCAAATTCATTTTTAATTAAACCAAATATCGTGTTATATAAAGTATTTGGATCCTCCGGTATATGGGATAGGGATTGCCGATATTATTTTGAAATCTAATTATTCGTTCTGTGGTAATCGGTCTGCAGAGAAATTGGTCTACCTTCTTGCTCATTTTACAATTAAAAGAGGCCAATTGGCCACTATGGTCGGATCTTAAGCAATTTATTATTGATTTAGACACTGCGTCTGTGTTACAAAAGATGTTATCAATACAAGTAGAAGAGGAGGCAGTAATGCGAGTTGGTTCTAAAAAAAGATTAATCAAGTCAAAACTTTGAAATAAATTAATGAGTCTTACAGAAGTAGAACAGTTTTCCAACAGGTTTACATTGAAATCTCCACATATTACTACGTTTTTTTTGGTTGGAAAAATCCGCTTTAAACTGTCTTCCATAATTAATTCAAACTCGTTAAAATTAGCAGAGGGGGGCCTGTATACGCATAAGAGGACAAACTGATCCAATTCCACACATGAAATTTCAATAGTTCGTTCAGTAGAAAGATTTGTGATATCCTTACGCTATTTAAATTTTAAGTTACGCTTAATAATAATCATGGATCCGCCTCTACTTAAGCTCTTTCTTATGAACGAACTGACTATTACATAATTTTCTATATTGTTAATGGCTTCGTAATCTTTCAGCCAGTGTTCTGTAACACAAAACACGTCAACGGAAATATCGTGCAAAAAAAAGACTTATTTCTAATGTTTTGCCAGAAAAGCCTTGAATATTTTGATGTACTACATGGAAACGATTAGACTTTTCTGTTGTCGTGTTTTTCAGTTTAAATTATGGTTAGTAAAAAGTATACGATTGCTACTTAAAGTAGGAGCATTGTCGTGGGACTGTGTTATGTCTTCTATAACAGCGTCCTTAATATTAAAAGATAGCAAACTAGCTATATGTCTTAGATACCTTAGGGGTAAATGTAAATTATCCTCAAAAAGTTTGAAGTTCCTTACGAACTTATTAATGTCAAAACAAAATATAACGTCACTATGACGGCAAGTCAAATTATGAATATGCGAATTTATGTTATATATATACTTATTACGAGCAATGCCTAGGTTAGAGCATTAAGGGAATGCACTTAGTATGAATTTACACCCACACTTCTCATGAATTCTCAAGAACACGTCAATGCTACTATTTACTTCTTTTTTACTAATGTTAGTACTATCACCTAATATAAGAATCACTGTTGTATATTTGTCAAAGTTGCAATCACTTAACAGTGTAATAATTTAACTAAAAGTAGCTCCTGAATAGCAATAGTTGACTACCCTTTGTTTTAAGTGGTTACTAAGGTGGTGGCCTAGTCCTACGCCTATTTTATCAGAAAAAACTACCGTTCTTCTGGATGGCCTGGTCGGAGTTCTAATAGTCTTGGTTGACCGTTGACTGTGTCGAACTTCAACAGTTGTAGTGGAGCAGACACGTTTTCCTGCAGCAACGCTGGCATACGATGCACGTGTTGGTTGCGTTGATGATGTGGGTGGTGGGGACGGAGTCTGATTTATTTGTACTGGACCATTTGTTTCACTAAGCTCATCGTGAAGAAGGACTTGAGTAAGTTCTCTATACTCAGTACCCAGCTTTAAAAGCTCATTAGTTGCAGCTGAAAGTTGTTTCTGCGTAGAAAGTAGGTCTTGAGTTCGCGATTGAAGATCTAACTCTAGATCTTTCACTTGTTCGGCCATCTTCACCTTGTCCTTGTGTAAATTTAATTTTTCTGATTTTAGTTTCTTAAGAGTTTTCGATTTCTTTCTTATCAGGTTGGTTAATTTGGAAAATCTTGGGTCTTGCGATTTAGTGCTGCATAATTAACTGTTGCATACATTCCTGTCTCCCAGAGCTAGTTCATCACGGAGTGACAAGGTCGTTAGGTGGTCGTAACTTCCGCTTTGTTCGTGTAATGATGCAACTTCAGCATTTGATTCCTTTACCTGTCTTTCAAGAAATCTGATACGGTCTAAGGCGTCTTCGTGTTCCTGGTGTTCTCGGAAGCTCTCTATAATTAATTCCTTTCGTTTGCACTCTTTTTCTAATTCTTCACAAAATCGTCGAATTTCATCAAATTTCCCTTTTAATGTCATTCGTGAAGTCTTGAGCGCCTGCATTTCCATTTCATATACATCGCGTTCTTCAAGAAGCCTATCTGTCAGTGCCCTCAGTTCATTGAGCTCAGCTTCCAATTCCAGCGTTGAAATACTTCGCCTTAATACAGTTTTCGATATGTGGATTTAATTTTTTTTTAATAATAACCAAGTGCAGGACAAACAAGTCGTGCGCTTGGTGGTAAGCTGTACACCTAGTCATAACAGTTGCAGTGCCACTCAGAGCTTTAAATCGCAAAGATCTTAAAGGGGCACTGCCACTTCACTCGTTACCCCGAGACATAAGTTGATACGTACCATGTACCTGTAATTTCACCAGCACCTTAACCGGAACGCAGTAATGCTCATATTACTGCTTGGCGGCAGAAATAGGTAAGGTATCAGTAACTTCCCTGGACGAACTCTTTCACTAGGAGCTTTACTGCTACAAAAATCATTAATCAACGCCTTACTTTCTCAATCTCGTATCTTAAGCACAAAGCTACTAAATGCAGAAAATGGATTGTATATACAAATTTTGCAGCCTGATTTCATATCACATTTCCTTCGTGTTCACACACTGGTTTCTACCTATTCTTAAAGTTGCATCCGAATTAATGCCTTTGATAAGAAATTTTAAATAAATAGAAAGTTTTGCCATCTGAATAATTACTCTTTATAAAATACGAGTTTTAAGAAAGTAAGGCATTGTCACCCCGTGTTCTTCTTCGTCGTTTAAATGTTATGGCCCCATCGAAATAATCAATGATTTTGCCAATGTCAAGTAAAAATAACTATGTACGGTAGTTTAGTATCATTATAAAAATTATACAAAAAAAAATTAAGTAGCCGCCATTAATTGTTTGCGCTTACTTCACTGGGCGCGTAATAGACTACAAAAGCGCGGAAGAGAAAGGAGAAATAATACACCTTTTTTCTTTAAGGAGGTTTATTCCATTTTATTAAATGTTAAGTATAATCGAGCAAGACATGTACACAACGCTACAGCATATTATGAGAATATTCTAATTGATTATTACCATAGATACCTAAATCGTAATTAATTAATTTCTAAGAAAGAGAGAATAAACAAATCATTTTTCCATGTCGTGCAAACATTCAAGGGTACAAAACAGACTACGTCTGTAATATACACATAAACCATACATGAATCTTGGTGGTGTAAAATGTTGTTATGACTCGAAAATTTGCAGACCAAGAGTATCAGAAATTGGAGGCTTTGGTAATGTTTGTGGCTGACCCGGAATGATCGAGAGTCCTTTTTGACGACGCTTGCGTCTCTCCGTTTGATGAAAGCCAAACCTAATTTTGCCCGGCAGGACAGAAAATCGTCTACCGACGGGCACTGTTGCTAAGCGTTTGAAAAGCACCTCGGTTTCCACTTTGAGATTAGCATCCAGCACCCTCATAATGTCCTTCTCACGTTGCACTATTGCCTTGCGCTCATCGCCAATGAGTGCCTCTTCTGCCATCGCTGCACACTTACCGAGGAAGGCTTGTATTCTTTCTCCAGATTGCAATAATTTCGTCCACTCATAAGCTTCTTCTACTTGGTTGCGTACCTCATTTACATTACCCTGTTGCATATCCCCGCTTAAAAGCACAAAGCACCCGTTTAGCCACCAAGTCGCATTGTTTATCTCTGTTGCCTCACGCTGGCATAATTTTGCGTAATATTTTGAAAGGGCGTAGTTCTTCTGTATAGCAAGAAGACGTGCTACCTCATACATTAACCAACATCTCATCATGGTATTCTCACATTTTTCTAAAGTATTCATGTACTTCTCTAAAGCTAATTTCGAAGACAGATATTTATGCGGGTAATTCATTATTACGGAATCGTAAGAGGAAGGACGACTCACAGGCAGGCCCATAAGGTAGAAAACGCGACGTTTATTGCCACGATCGCTCATATTGTATGAGAGTCTGTATTGCAAGAGGTAGCCTTCCCCTATTGTTCTGTACAGTCGATCTGTGTACAGTTCCTTGTCTGGCAGTGTATGAGGAGTTTTGCCATCAAGAAATAGCTGCATACGTTCCGCTTTTGCTATTAAAAGCGCTAGGTTATTCGTTCGCCAACAATTGTCCATTTGTTTTAAATATAAATCAGCTGTACGTGCGCCGGTTATCCTTTCATTTTCTAATAATTTCTTCTGGAACATATCCTGATGTTGAGATTTTGACTTTTCAGCTAATTTTATTGAGTAGTACGGACGTTGGCACCTTAGCATTTCTTGCCGTTCACTTAGCGTGTGTATTGTTTCAATGATAATGTTTTTTATATCTCGACTGCCTGCCGCATTAGCTGACATCACTACGGGATGATCACGTAAAGCTTGGAGATAAAATTTATCATAAGCCATTTGTCCCAGGTATTTCATAGCCAAAACTCTTTCTAATTGTTCATGTTTCCTAATTTCTAGTTGCGTTAACTTGTTTATGGCTTCAGGTCGAGGAATGCGGGATTTATGGGGTATTACTATGGGTTCATACATGTCAAAACTTACAGTTTGATTGTCCTTAATAAGTGGCAGGAAGTCTATTAAAACATTGCCCGCATTTTTCCCAACACAGTCCTGAAGCGTTTCGATTCCCTGGTTGATACCTTCGTGGAAGTACGGCGGCTTCTGTCGGTGGCGCACACCGCGATAATTCATTACCAGCGAGCGTTCGAAATCACCAATTGTGAACATGGCGAGTGCCTGCATATGTTGGGCGACCATATTGTTTGGTTCCAGTTTGAGCGCCAGCTCGGCGTCGTCGTATGCCTGGATCGGCTGGACGGCGTCCGAGCATACCTTACTACGACCAACCAACAGCAACACGTTTTCTGGATTGGTTTTGAACGCTGTGTCGTAAGCACATTTTGCTTTTTGAAATTGCTCGAGACGTCTTAGGAATGCACCTCGCTCTCGGTAAACGGTAAGAGCAGAAAAAATAGGTTTTGGCTCCATTTTTATAATAATAAATTTTATAAACAAATTAATGTAGATATTTTATCTAAACATAAAATAACTTCACGAAATTACATGCATCAAAAGCAAAATCTTCAAAAAGATAACCCATCTAGAACTCCGACACCATCTCGTAGCATTACATGTCCATAGATAAGCACGTAAAATGAGGAAGTATGTATATCTCAGTGGATGGAAGAAAATATATTCTATTATTCAATACTTCAAGAAAATCTTTTTTCTTTTTCTTAAATTTGGCACTACTCTAAGTTTACATCAAAGAAAAGGTTAGAAAAGGGATGGGAGAAAATATTTATCAAGATGTAATCTGAAAGATGCGTCAATTTTAATATTTTACCTGAATATTTATGGAAGGGCTTACCGCAAGATTCAATTCTCAGGCTCATTTGATACAATATTTACTAAAATTGTGATTTAGGAGGGAAGAGTTGGGTAATACCGAGCCCCTAAGCAAGAACGCCTATAATTAACCTCAGACATGGTTTATAAAAACAAAATTTATTAGGCTACATGTGTATAATCACGTACGTATATAGTCCGTATAGTATATACTAATATAATCTTCATAAACAAATACAAAAGGCAGTTGTTGCAAAATTACAAAAAAAGTGGGAAAACGCGGTATTATCAAACTGGTTTGACAATATCGTGCTCAGAACTAGTAAAATCGTGACTCAATAAATTTATTGGAATTAGTTCAATGTTATTTATGATATAAATACAAAAACAAATTTTTAAGTTGAAATATACTCGTGTGTATAAGAGTCTAGGCTATTATCTTTTACAGCAACATAATCGAATACTTAAATGTTAACAATAAATAAAGTTAAACAAATAGATACGTGAATAGCATTTGCTTTCCTTGAACTTATTTTCGTAAAGAACGTGGCAGACTTGGTAGCTCTTTGAAGGAATCTGAAGATATTTACGTCTTCGGTCATAAAAATGATGATGTGGTGATGTTTTTATTGATCTCAATGTTAATCTTATTGATTGTAAAAAGACTTTTTGACATTTTTTATTAGTAATTTGGATTTAATTTTTAATTTTATTCATTGCATTTTTATGACCGTGAAAGGAACGTGTATTGTATAATGTAATGGGATTGATGCCTAAATAAATAACAATTGAATTGAAAAACATTTCACTACTGTTAATATATTCTTTCGATACTTGTTTGGTAGCTTTCTTGTCCTTTAGAAATTTTTGCTTAACTTTATTATTTGGAGATTTTTGTATGTACGCGTTTTTTCTATGATACCAAGTGATGGGACGAACAAGTCGTACGCCTGGTGGTAAACGACACGCCTATCCATAGCAGTTGCAGTGCCACTCAGAGCTTTTAATCGCAAAGATCTTAGGAGCACTGCCACTGTGCCCGTCACCCTGAGATATAAGTTCACAAGTTCCATATGCCAGTAATTTCATCAGCACCCTTACTCTTCGAAACAGGAACGCAGTACTGTTCAGATTACTACTTGGCGGCTGAAATAGGTAAGGTGGCATTTCTTCCATGGGCGAACTCTTTCACAAGGAGCTCTACTGCTACTAAACTTATCCTTCTCACTGTTTACGTTGCTGTTTGAAACTTTCCTCTTAGCAGGTTATTCTTTAGCTTCGTTTTTCTACTCCCTCTTCCTTGTTTGCCCAAATTTGATAATACTGTGGTTTAAGCGAGGAATTGTCAAACACACTCACTTTTCTTTCAAACCACAAAATAATTTATCCTAAAAGTAAATTATGTTTCCGCTACGATTTTGCAGATTAATTCTACAATATTTTAACCTCTCAAATATGTTAAAAAAAATACTTGAAATAAAAATGTAATGTTGCTTATCTCTTACCGAAAACACCCGTAAAATTACATTGAAAAGTGTGAAAACTTACAGCACGCATCATATTCGAATGATCGCAGAGAATGAAGCGATAGCGTGCATGTAGGAAGTAATACATTTAAATGCCTCCGTGCCCGAATGATTACCATGCCGGACTGCCACGCAAAAGTCCCAGCTTCCATTCCCGGGCTGGAAGAAATATTTGTATGGCCTACATTTATTTCTCTCGTGAGTTTGGGTGCAATTTGTCAGGCTATGATACTGGGGCACTGTAAACTGTAAACTCTTAAGTAGCTTGTACTTATTGAAGTACACAGAGGCGCGAAATTATCAGCCGCGCGGTAATACCAAACTCTTCCCTACCTCTTAGAGCGACGCTACATGGGCGCTGCCGTGTGTGTTGCGTCATCGTCAGTATATAATAAAGTTATTATATAGTGAAAGTCGCAGTAGTGTCATACACCCCTTCCCGTTTCGTCGCCTGGCCTCTAGTCCGATGCGCACGCGTTCCGTCGCCGTGCACTGTTTCAACGTTCCCTGTGACATGTAGCTCTAATATTATTTATTAGTAGTCACCGCCATGCCGATGCCACGCGTGGCGTCGCTCTTAGACCGTAAATTGTGCCTTCGACAGACTACTACGCCTTGCCAAACGCGACGCGACGCACCAGTTCGGCTGCAACGTACCGTCTGTCGGTCATTAGATGACTCACTATTTACATAGGGTGGCTTGCCGTCTTCGGTGAGCAAGCATCGGTCGCCTGACGACTTGGTATAAATACAAGGGCACATTTCAATGTTGTCACGGTTAATAGGAAAATGTTACTCAACGTTGAAGCAGCTTTACAAATTAAGACCATACCTGAGTACAGCTGTTAGAGTGAGATTGACTGAGTCATTGGTACTGTCCATACTAGACTACTTAGATATAGTATAAGGCCCGATAAAAAACAGGGGCGTCAGGACTTCTGCATTAGATATTGTTTTAAAGTACCACCACGTTCTCACGTTACTCCCTATTTAAATACATTATAATCTATTCAATATGAAAAATAGATACATTTTAAAATTTAATAGTCTGGTACACGCACCTTGACAATTTCGTCTACCCCAGAATATCTGGCCAAAAACTTATCTGGAGTGGCCTGCCACACAGTGGCAATGTTAAATTTCAACGGTACCTGCATTTACGTTTATTGGTTGTTCCTCGCTTAACTCTGACCAGGGGTAGTTTCCGATTCGCAGCGAGTAAGTGCTGGAACGACCTGCTACCTCCGTTAAAAAAACGCCAAAACGCTACATTATTTCAAAAAATGTGTAAATAATGGTTCCTGTCTGTGCAGAAATTGAGTAGCAATTACTCGGTGGTTAAATCCGTTTGCAACACTAAATAAATAAGTACAATTTTAGAATGTTTTCTGTTTTTACAATTTTTATACATTTTACATATAGTACAACACAGACAGACTCTATTAATTGCTTGGTGTTTAGTATACACTCCGCTTGCCGGTTTAATGCAGCAAGCGAAAAGCTTTACCACGAAGCCTGAAAATCAGCAATGCTGAGTCTTCATGTTGAATCAATCATTTTGGAAAAATATGTAGTAAAATTGAAAATACACATTGAATAGTATATGATGTGAAAACACGGTTCCTAAAAATTTTCACTGTTAAAAAACATAAACTTACCGCGAAAGTTTACAAGAAAACTTATATAGTTACTTTTACTATGTATTTTGTATGTAAAACTGTAGGTAAGCCAGTAATAAACTAGTTACTGAGTGAGACAGACGTTTTATTGCTTACGGACATTAGAACTTTACATACACCAACATTTTTTTATATCAACTGAACTAAATATTGCACGCCAAGGAACAGGCAGTGTTGGACGCCCTGCGGCAAAACGGACGGACTATGCGGATGCGGGCGGTAGAAGACCGGGAGAGTTGGCGTGCTCAAGGGGAAGCTTATGTCCAGCAGTGGATGGATGTGGATGTAAAGTGATTATGAACTGAACTAAATAGAGTACGTATAGTATACGATATACACTTTTCAAATGAAAAAATAAGTTCTGAAATAAAGCCCGTGCCCTGGCGCTCAACCCGCGCAAGAGAACCGATTCAGTACGAGAAAAATTAGAATTCGAGCTGAAGTAGTTCGATTCTTAAGTCGAAATTTCCAAGAAACTTGCTGCATTATCCCATAGGGCATTGTATCTCGATTCTTTTCTTGATTATTGAAAAGTACGTCAATTTTTTTCGGTTCTCTGTCACCACCTGACACTAATTTTAATATTCAATAGTCCAATCCCAACAGATGAACAAATAAAATTTTTTATTTGCACTAGATTCAAAGTACTGCTAATTTGAACATAATAATTAATTAGAAATTTACCTATTTATGACACTTTACTTTCGGTATCAAGTAATTTTTAACCGACTTCAAAAAAGGAGGAGGTTCTCAATTCGACTGTATGTTTTTTTTGTATGTATGTTACGCGATAACTCCGGTATTTGTGAACCGATTTTCATGATTATTTTTTTATTGGAAAGGGGGTACTTCCATAGTGGTCCCATTTCTTTTTGAAGAAAATCATCCACCTCGAAGGGTGGCTGTTCACGCATGAAGATTCATTTTTATAAATAGCTCCTAACTTTAATTTAGGAGCAATTACTTTAATGGTTGATTTTGCTGTTTCTCCAATTCAAGGCGCTTTTCTCTCAATATACTTTGAGTGGTGTTGTAGTGAGAACCTATTTTTATTATCTCCAGTGTCAAGTCCTGTACAGTGGCGAACTAGGGGATATTTCTAGATAGAACTAGGGGTGAGCTGCCTATTTAGTAGATAGGTAGGTACCGGAGCTGTAGGCACGCTCACTTTCCGTAGCGCATTGTGCTACTTGCCACTGCCAAACCCTCGACTCTAAGTCTACTACCAAATCTCCTCATTGGTGGCGGAGCTGTAAGCCGCGCTTACCTCCCGACGTCGAAGTGTCTCTCCAGTTCCCTGAAGACTGCGCGGTTGGAGGTACCGGAAGATATCTAGCTTATCTACTACTAGCTCTCCGGGCTAGTGCCGGAGATGCAGGTCGCTGTGTCATGCGACAACGTCATGGCTTCCGCCTTAAAGGGCAACTCACGTGCACATGGAGCGCTGCTGCCACTTATGGGATGGGTCTGCTAAATACCAACCGGTCACTTTGGATTCAATTGACAAGCGCACAAAGAGGCTAATAGGTAACTCGGATTTAGTAGAGGCAAAGCTGCAGTCTTGAACACCGCCGCCGCCCGTAAAGATGCCTGCTGATAAATCATGGAGAATGTGCAGTGGAATTGCACGATTTAATTCTGCCTACTCGTTTATAACGGGGGATTAGACGTAGGCTCGGGTTCCACCTCAAAGTGTTGGATTTTTCAAGGAATGGCACGAAACGTTACGCTTCCACATTTATAGTTAGTTTGTTATTTTGGCAACAAAATAAGTCGGTACCACAAATAAAACTCATTTCTTTTGTATAATATTATGTAAGTACGTTATGTCCAGTTATTTATTTAAAAGTCTACTAGGTTAACTACTTATATAAAATAAATAAAAAATTACGTCATTCCTTTTGTATTTAGCAAATACTTCAATATATTTAGTTACCTATCATAAAAAACAATACAGAGTACAGAGTCACAAGACCTATCAAACCTTAACCCTAACCTTGGGGCTTGGGTGTACTAACTTGTGTTCCAAAAAACATTATTTAAAACACATTTGTATAAAAATCAGGATACGAACAAAGTAAATAAATACAGTCAAGAAAAATGAAGCCATAACCAGAAATTGGTAGATTTAATTTTGTTTGCTTCTTCCCCGAGTAACTATATTGTCTAATTTGGGCACGGTCGTCAACTGCTTTTTGATTTACATTAACAAAATATAATTGGATTTAAAAAAATATTATTCTCAAAAGTTACGAAAATTTTGCAGACGACCAAAAGCACCAAAAGTTACGAAAAATGTAAGAAGTATAACCACTTGGCAACACAGACTGGATTTTTTTTATCAAAGGTGTTGCCAAAAATGTTAATATTTTTAACCACTGTCTTTTTGACAGTGTCAGATATAATAGTTGTCGGCTTGTCAGACAGTCTATAGCTGAAATAATTCATATATCATGTTCCAACCCCACGTGAGTCAGTGGCTTTGCGTTACAGATTTACTGTAGCATTGACATGTTTACTACTTTTTTGTTGACAAAATTCTTCGAAAACTATGGTTTCATTTCGTTATTTTGGTGTTAATTGACGAATTTATTGCATTAATTGTCTTTATTTGGCGTTTTTGTTTGCAAAATGTCCTCGAGCTCCGTTGAGGATATACCAGAGCAGTGTAAGGTAAGTTCGTATGGAGTAGGTACTTTGAGACCTTTGTTTTGTTGCTCTCGGACCACGTGACCTTGGTATCATGCCATAAATACATGCACAGAAATTTCTCCCGCAATAGTGCTTCATAAATGCCCATCTTGCAAATTGCGTCATATTTATCTTTTCATAAAACTTACACGTATATTCTCACGAGTATATGGGTATATTTCTAACGTCTATGTTCTGAGTACATGATGGAAATTTCTTTAGCATTTTGAGGCTTTTGAGACTTCGTAGCAGTAGAGCTACTTGTGAAAGAGTTCGCCCAGGATAGCACTGCCACCTTACCTATTTCTGCCGCCAAGCAGTACAGTCAGCATTACTGTGTTTTGAAGCGTAAGGGTGCTGGTGAAATTACAGGCACATGTGACTTGTCAACTTATGCCTCAGGGTGACGGGCAGTGGTACTGCCACTCAAATCTTTGCGATTTAAAGCTCTGAGTGGCACTGTAACTGTTACGGACAGGCTTACAATCAGGCGCACACAACTTGTTCATCCCGTCACTTGATGTTATATTAAAAAAAAAAATATCATGCCAGTGAAACTGTGTTTATGGTACATTGTCATTTAAATAAATCCAACTTCAAACTGAGTAGGGGCAGGTATTGTACATTCTGGATTGACAAACCTTATTCCCCAGCCAGTTAAAAAGACCTACACCTAATTATTTTAATCTTGCCTCTAAGTAGTAGTTAGTGGCGGTCACAATTAATTGATTGTGATGTTGCTTCACAAATCCCAAAAAAAACCACCCTTATAAGCGCTACAAGTCGAGTATAGACTCGTGCATTATGTTGTGAAACTCATTGGACCAATTTTGTAAGTTACGAAAGGAGGAGATCACAACAGACAAATGTTAAAAAGAGATTGAATTCTGATAGCTATGTTCACATGAACCACTGGTCATGAACTGGAATGTTTAATTGAAATCAAGAGACAATGAAATCATTCTTTTTTTTAATTACAAGTTGTGGTATATTTGCGGCCAGTGATTCATTTGATGAACATTGTTACCATAATTCATCAAGTATATAACCAGAAATAGAGACAAAATAAGGGCCATTCATCCCTGGCGACTCACCAGGCAAGTGGGCCTTATATCACTTTCAAATGTCAACTCTCGTTTGCGCTGAAATCACAAATTAGAACGCTGAAATAGTACAGCGCCAACATCTGGCCTGTGTGTACGTCTCTGTATATTCCAAAAATGTTCTGTATTTATTGTAATAAAGATAATATCTCTAACAATGGGGGGGCTGTTCCGTTCGATGGTGTGAGAAAAACAGCAAAACATCCAATTACAAAAGAAACTGAATCACATTTCATCAGTAAT